ATCTGCATGAGAGGCGAGTAACCAACAGTCTGCATACAAATTAGCCAGATCTGTAAAACGGATGTCAACTCAAAACTCAGGCTGTGAAACAAGACTAGAGTTCAGAAGTGGACGAAGAACCACAGTTTTCTGCCGGAGTTTCAGCCGGTGAAGAAAAAGAAGAAGAAGAAGAAGAAGAAGAAGAAGAAGAAGAAGAAGAAGAAGAAGAAGAAGAAGAAGAAGAAGAAAAAGAACAAGAAGAAGAAGAAGGAGAAGAAAAAAAAAAGAAGAAAAAACAAAACACAAGAAAAATGACTAGAAGATGACTACTATGAAAAAAAAAATGTCGGCATCTGTGGCTTAGGCGTTGCAAACACGCTTTCGTAATGCCGGGGTGCCGGGTTCGATCCCTGATACAGACAATCCAATTTCTTGCGCTGGTTTCGACTGTGGTATCGAGAGCTGACTGTTCAGGAGCAATGGCAAACTACTGAAACCCAATCTGCCTAGAAAAACCACAATAACCAATAAATACTGGGGTTGATTCTGCAATGTTTTAAAAAGGGTACGCAGCTAACTTCAACTAAAAAAATAAAAATAAAAATAAAAAAAAAGTACAAATTCAAACTTTCATTAACTGGTAGATGTAAACAAGTGCAATTAAATGGTATGACAGAATAACGGAAGACAGTTTAAGGAGAGAACTAAACAAACTGCACTGAATCAAGAGGCGAGGGCGGTGGTGCTAATTAGGACGCACAGTGAGAAAAACTAATAACAAAGTGATTATAACGTTCTTACACTGGAAACCAGAGGACCACAGAACTAATTATACACACACGCGTGCGCGCATACGTACCTACCAGACACATACACACACGCAGAATGCAATTACAGGCAACAGATGAGACAGTAAAGGATGAAATGGTAAAGGGTGAAATGGTAAAGGGTGAAATGGCACAGGATGAAATGGCAAACGGTGAAATGGCACAGAATGAACTGGAAAAAGGTGAAATGGCAAAGGATGGGATGGCAAAGAATGAGATGGCAAAAGAAACAGCACATTTAATTAAATCAGCTTTAAAATGTTCAACTTCCTATATACATGCATACCTGCAGCCAGCTAACAATTTATTTACCTATCTATGTAAGTGTGAGCATGTTTTTACCCACCCATCCATCTATATGTCCATCTATCTGCCCGCCTGCCTGCATATCCATCCATACATGCGTTTATCTTTGCAGCCTTGTGTTCCATCTATTGATCTACTGCACATTTACCCCCCCCCCCCCCCCCATTCCTTCCCATTTATTATCTTACATAAACATCAATGCACCTGGTACAGATTAAATACATTCTTGTAAAATTTCAGATTATGTAACACAATACAACAGAATATCGGCTTCCATAATCCAACTGTCTATACCACAACCAGCACGCCATAGAGCTGCTTTCTTTCATTCTTTACAACGGCACACTACAACTTGTTAGAGATAACAAATAAAGTATAGCAAAGACCAGGCCAATCACCAAGCATTAACCTCCCCTAAACAATGGTGAAAATATCGTGGCGACTGCAGTCAAGCTAATACAAGGAATTCCAGTGAAATCTGACTATAAAGCTTTATCAAATTGGGAAGCAGAAAAACGTGCACAAAACAATACAAACAACTTAACGTTTCGGCCGTATGATAGATGGACATATGGATAGATGTATCCCCGACGCCGCTGTGGATTGGGGCTAAACTAGATGGATGGGACTCACGAGCAAAGCTACAGGAGATGCGGAATAGGTGGATACTCTCGGCGGTCGCAGTAGTCGCCGGAAGTTCGCAAATTAAGTCGCTGGAAGTGCGCAACTGACATGTGACTGAGGCCCTGTTAGGATGTTTTTGCGGCCGCCATAATATGTGCCCGTTATTCGGAGAACAGCCTTATTTCAAGATCACCCACATGTCTGAACTAACAAATATACTCTTGTGTATTTCAGAATGCGGCCGGCAAGCTAGAACCTGATGGGAAATGGTGAATCAGATACTGCGTGAATGTCACAATGATAATGAATGACACTTCTTGTTGGATGAGCAGATTTATGTTCACAAGTAAAGAATGCTCTGATAAACATTGCCTCTCAAAATCAACTCCTAAAACTACACAAAATGTAACTATTGATTTTGAATAAATAGAATACTGTAGACAACACAACCATCTACTGTCTGTGTCATGTGAACAGGAAAATGACAGAAACATAAAGGCATCCACTAACTCACAAAAACTGATAATATGCTAAGTGCTTACTCTTTTGGTTTCTTTTTAATATGAAGAAAAACTGTTTGAAAAAAAAAGGTTAAAGGTTTAAAGTCTGTTTGGAATAAATTATTACATGCACCAGCAACTGGTTTGTGGGTATGTTTTCACTCAGCTTTTGCTTATCATTCTAATGATCTTCTTATCTGAACATTTAACTCAAAGGATGTGTTCAACTGATGTACACCAGCGATCGGGTCGTCCACTGGCTGGCTGGTAGGTGACTTCGTCACCTGTCAGCAAAGTATTTGGGTCTGTCTCCTTTGATTGCACGAAAACCTCAAGTCCTTTTCAGGGCTACTTGGTGGCGAGTAATGCTTAGCCATTTTATATGGCGCACTCAACCTAGTCACAATTATAACTGAAGAATATCCTTTGGGAATGCTAGTTGAACGTGACAATTTTTTTTCACAAAGCAAGCCAAGCAACTGATGTATCAACCGACCTAAAATTTGAAACATCAGACTATCCAAACAAAGACAAATTATCAATGCAATCTTCACACCAACTTTGTACTATCATTGTCAGACTTAGACAATGACAAAAGAACAGGAAAGAAAACTGACCATTAGCAGGATGAGACGTTTGAGAAAAGCTGTGAATAAAGCAAGAAGAGAGCCTATCAGAAATTAAGAAACTGAAAGAAGTACTTGAACACTATTATTAAATTCTATGAACAACAAAGACTGAAATAATTAAGCCATTTAATGAAAATGAATCCAATGATGCCAGCAACAAGAGCGTACCAACATGAAAGAAGAAACACCAAGAGGTAGGGGATGACCATGAAGAGGACTGAAGGAGTTAATGATACCCTGAAACTGTGCAACATCACAGCATACCGTGCAAACAAGCGTGCCAATCATCTGTTAACCTGCAATATCTAGTGGCACAAAGCAGCATATGGACAAAAGAAAAAGATAATAGTTTAACAGAGTTTGTGAACTTTCTCATTGGATTTGCATTTGAGTAGTGACTATTTGAGTGAACAGGTGGATCTTTCGGACTGCTATTCCAGAGAGGAGACGGGGGAAATGGGGGGGGGGGGGGGGGGGGGGGGATGGGTAATAAATCTAAATAATTTGATACCATGGAAGTTAAATGTTACCTTGCATCAAAAATAAACATGAACATTCTATTACCAGTGGTTCTCAATCTTCCTAATGCTGTGACCCTTTTATACAGTTCATGTTGTGGTGATGACCCCAACTATATAATTATTTTAGTTGCTACTTCAAAACTTCAGTGAGTATGTGTTTTCTGATGGTCTTAGGTGACCCCTGTGAAAGGGTCAATTGACCCACAGGTTGAGAACCGCTGCTATTACCCCACGATGAGGAAAGTACAGCTGGCAGGCATGCATGCATGTCTTTTATCCCTTCTGGACTGCCACTTTAAAGGACTGAAGATCTCAGAAGATCTCATTCAGGATGACAAACAGGACCTGAGTGGTCCTGACACCATGAGACTAAAGAATCTTACGCTGGTGGCAGATGAACAAGTTGGTGAAAACGTTTCCATTAAAAAAAAAAATTGAAATCGGGTCTCAGCCAAAAAACAGAAGCTACAAATGAGGTAACATCTTTGATAACAGACCAAATAAAAAAAAAAGAAACAAAGAAACCTAGATAGAATTAAAAACACAAACACACACAAACAACAACATTATATCAGTATGATGAACAACATGGACATGTTTCTTGACCTTCCCCCTTTTTGCCTCTCTTCTAAATCCGAAATCAAGTCAGGTGACAACCAAAAGCCATATGGCTTGGAGTAAAAAAAATATAAAAAATATATGTAACTTGTAACAACAGAAAGAAAAGTAACAAACAAAAAGCAGGATTTGGGAGCTGTGCTGGGGTAGTGGATGCATGCTGACTTTCAAAGGTCTAGGGTTCAAATCCACATTAGAGTGCATTGAAAATAACTGATCTTGGTTTCCAGTGCGACCCAGTGTTCTGAGATCTAAATGTGGCTGGCATAATATTGTCTACATCACCCACAGAGTGGTCTTGGATTGATCTTTAACAATATACGACAAGCACTACATGCTCGACGTAAAAAAAAAAGGGTCCTTTACTTACTTTTAAAACCAGACACAATCAAATCCCTATCCCAACAACAAATATACAATAACCATATAATGAGCATCCAGGGTTAAACAAAGTCAAAGCAATGCTGTAGCAAACAAGTTTCAAGGAAAGTAACAAATGTCTGAGCAAAGACTGAAGTACTATTTATTTCCTCTTACTGTGAAAGTCTAGGAAAAATCATTCTATATCATAACCGGCTAGATCTGACTGACTTTCTACCCCACCAGGACATCACACAAGCGATAAACACCCGATGACACAAAGTGCCATCATGCGGATAAGGATCACCGAGGAGAGGTCCCAGAAACCGCGTTTAGACAATTGGCCATATTGATGGCCTGCCTATATTTGCGGCCCCTGGCAAAAGCCAGAGTGGGGCTTCAAATAATAAAATGGCCCATCTGGCCATTGTGTTAAACATTTCCTAATGATATATGAGTCACAATAAAGACAGATTACCTCTTCTGTGTTTACAAAGCTTCTTCACATGTTGTTAATTATCAATATGTCCAGCTTTTAAATCAAGTCTATGTTTCTCAATTCTCTGGCCAAACATTTAGAATGCTGGGCTTCCATGCAGGGTAGCGAAGTCCGAAACCTCGATAAGCTGATGGAAATTATTTTTTGTTGAGGTAAATAAACAAAACAATCGTGGTGAGTGCATCAGCATTGTGGCCGCTCGAGACCCCCCCTCCGCCTTTCACGCAACCTTAAAAGAGTGGTCAGTAGAGGCAGTAATGAGAACGTAATGGTAATTCATGTACATATGCTTCATACGGGGTGTCAAATACTGCTGTTGGCCCATCAGCACGTCAACATTACAGATTGTAGCAGCATAGTGGCTAAATGCTTATCTGACAGCTCAAAGGCATTGGGTTCAAAACCACACTGGATCAGATATTTTCTTCTTCTTCTTCTTCATTTGTGGGTTCCAGGGCCCTATTGTGGGGAAAACAAGAATAGACCCACTGCCTACCCAAAAGCATGTCGTAAGAGTCGACTAACTGGGAGCTTCCTTCCAAGTCGGACTGCATCTGCCTGAGAGGCAAGGAACCAGCAGTCTGCATACAAATGAGTCAGATTGTAAAACAAATTCACACGCAGCACTCAGGTTCTGGAAAACGACTGCAGTCCAGAAGTGGATGAGCAACGCGAACTTTCTGCCGGAGTTTATAACTAGTGAATGCAAAGAAGAAGAAGATATTTCTCAAAATTGACTTTGGCTCTCAGGTTGACCCAGCCTAAAATGAGTACTAGGAGTCCTGGAAAGTCAAGTCATTATGAAAAACCAGAGCCAAACTGGTCAGAAAGAAAAGGTAGATGTCATTGGAAAGAATTGTACCCTGGCCATAGTCTTGGAAAGCTATTTAGTTGAAGTAAAGAACCCTTTCTCACACCTTTAGGTGTAGCTGAGTTGTCATCACAGCACTGGGGGCATTCCCATGCATGCTCCATCCTCATCTTCAGCAGCCAGGGAAGAGTTCCAATACTAATGGTGCCGGTTGTAATCTGGTTACATGTCTGTCTTGCCTCTCCTTTCAATGCAGTGAGCCGGCCAGACCCTCTGGTTACACCCAGGTGCATCATTCTCTACAGGCTATAATATCTTGTTTCTCTTCTGACTCCGTTGCTTGTTCCCAAAGGTCCTTGACCACATCTGCCTTGTCATGCATAAATTCACCACCCAGTGGTGCAGATCCAGCCAAACTGTCTGCCTGTTCATTCCCCACAAACCATGCCGGCACAGTCTGGAGAAAAGATTTAAAGTATGCTCACTAACCGTGACCTTGTCATTGAAGCTTGCCACTCTGCTCAAAGCATCCCTGTCTTCAACTTTCTTGGCAGCCAGGATTCAGAGTCTGTTTCAATTACGACATTGTCTGTGCATCTTGTTCTCTAGCCACCGTAAAGCTGCAGATACCGCCTCTACCTCCATTTTCATGCTAGATATTGTGGTATCGTATCCTAGGATGTCCTGCACTAAAGATTTTCCATTGGAGTTCGCTACAAACCCCCAAGCATTTCTCTTCCCTCTCAGCACCTTAAAGTGTGTTGAGAACATAGTGTTTTACCTATACGTTATAAACCAATCAGCATTAGGTGGCTGATGTGGTAAAAATTATGCCGGCCCCCTTTACTCACCAGGACTTTACCTGGTACTCACTCAAGGCTGGCTTGACCTGGCAGCCAATTTCATTTTAAAAAAAAAGGTACAGTTACCATCAGAATCGAACCCTCAACCCTGGCTACTGAGTTAGATATTTAATGCACTCAGACACAATAGAAGTAGGACAGGGATGTGTGTTACCCCCAAGCTTTCTCAACTAGCAAGCAGAAAACCTTTTTAAGCAAGTTGGAGAACTGTTTGGGCGGAATTTTAACTAAGAATGATAATCTTAAATATATTGTATCTAGCAGAGGGTGAACATGAATAATAAAACAAGTGGAGCCAGTAAACAGAAAAAAAAAAATGATAATTAGCATTGGAAAGGGGGAGCAAACAATGAACATGACAGTAAACCAGTAATGTTTCACCTATCTTGGGGAGCAAACAATGAACATTGACAGTAAACCAGTAACGTTTCTCTTATCTTCAACGTGCAACAACAGATGATGGCAGTAGTGAAACAGAAATGTAAACAAGAAAAGAAAATAGCAATAGCCAAAAATATTTTCACAATTTTGTACTAACTGCCACAGAGACTACGCTGAAGAAATATAATGAACACAGAGCAAGGGGAAAACCACACAAGAGATGGAGTGACATCATCAGGACCTTAGAAAAATGAACATCAACTTGTACAATGCATTGGATAAACGATGTTTACATCTCTCCCCAACACCTCGCTGAGGTAAATAGTGGAAGAGAAGAAAAATAAGAAAAAGACGAAAATTATAAATGGCAGATTAACAATATATCAGAAATGTGCTGCACTGTTGGAGTGTTCTGTATGAGACAGAGAGGTACATTGAATCCCATATGGTGCCAAGGCCAGGGCTCATACTTGCGCCCTAGCTACATCTCTTAGTGGTTGTCCTTGAAGCAGGTTCTCTATCCAGGGGTCTGGTCAAAACAGACAGGATAAACATTTTCTTTAGAGTGCATCTGTCGGACAGGCAAGGAACCAACAGTGTGCACACAAATACACCAGATCTGTAAAACAGATGTGTATGCATCATTCAAGTTCAAAACTCATCCCCACCAAAAAAAAAAAAAAAAAGGACATTCTGATGGAGTTTAAAACCTGTGAATGCTAAGAAAAGAAAGACATGTTTTGTATAATCAATTGTACTCCCTAAGTGGATTTAAGAGTGCCACTGTGAGGGGAAAGAATAGACCCATTGCCCCTCTCCTCCCACAAGCAAGTCGTAAAAATAAACTCAGGGATGGCTCCTTCTAAGTTGGATAACATCTGCCTAAGAGGCAAGGAACTAATAATCTGCAAACAAATAAGCCAGATCTGTAAATCAGATCTTCTTTTTCACTTCCTTGTTTACCTTGAGTGTCGAGGGAGATATAATGTACAAAACTCAAGCTCTGGAACAAGACTAAAATCCAGAAGTGAATAAATAACCAGAACTTTCTGTTCCAGTTTACAACCAGTGATAGCTAAGAAAAAGAAGCAATCAAAGTCATATCTCAGAGTAGCTGCAGACAAAAAGCACCTCCTGTATGCACCTCCTGTATAAAGCCCTAGGTAGAGCTGAGAGTAACAGACTGAAAAAAAGGAAGGTCTTGGACGGCAAAAGCTGAAGACACAATTAGTCATAAGTGCAGGCTGCATAATATTGGGTGATGGGAGGAGTAGGTCAAAGTGCCAGAGCAACTATCAGACTTGTACAGGGTTCTAATCACACTGAGCCATGTGTGCAGGGTCTGGCCAGCAGGCGCTGCAAAATCAGGTTCAACAAATGATTCCTAATAATTTCACACTCAGGTGATGTGATTATCTATACAGATAGCTCTGTGTTGAGAGGCAAACAAAGTGCATGAGGGCTCATAGCAACAGTGCTTAGTGCAACAAAGCCTGGCATTTGATAACACAACATCTACTTTAAGATGGAGGTGAAGGCAGTCACTGCTGCCAGCCATGCACACATGTCATAGATGTAACTGACTTGCAAAGCATGTTGAGAAAGGTGGAGACAGGTATGCTACGCGCAGAATGGTAAGCACTGCTTAGCGAGGTCCCAGGTAGTAGTGTCTTTTTGATATTTTCTCCAGGTTTTGCCGGTGTGTTGAAAAACAAAAACGACAGACAGACTAGCTGGTTCTGCACAACTTGGCAGTGAAATGACGCATGAGTAGCTAGATGCATACTGTAAGAGTCCTTTGAAAGTGAGCGAACCGTGCAGAGGAACAGACAGATCATCACGGTCTTTTCCTATCAAGAATGTCAATTGTCGATAAGTTTTCAAGTTAATTTCTCTACCGAACACAGCGATTCCCAACCTTTTTTGTGCCATGCCCCACTTAAGCCTTCCTAAACTTCGTATTCCTCCTCCTCCATGTAACTTATCCATTTTCAAACTCTTTTCCCCCTTCCCCCTTAACAATCAAACTGCCCTCCCTGGGAAGTGTGGGCCCCATGTTGACAAACACTAACATAACATGTCCTTGTGCAGCAAGTGATCACTTAAAAAAAAAATTGTGTCACCCTTTATCATCTTCTAGTTATTCCTCATTTTTTTTAACTCCTTATGACACGCTCTCGTGCAACATGCAAGCATTTGGAAATAGTACTTATTCTCCCTTATTCAAATGTAGTTTATTTCCCCTAGGCTTATTTCTATTCATGACGCACCCTCGTGCAACATGCAAGCATTTAGAAATAGTACTGATTCTGCCTTATTTAATTTCAGTTTATTTCTCTTTCTGTGGCTAAGTCGATGCGAACGCTTCGTAATGCCGGGATGCCGGGTTTGATCCCAGCTGCGGGCCATGTGCCTTGCATTGGTTTCAACAATGGTATCAAGAAAGCTGTGACCAAAATATTTCAGCTTTCGAAAAAGGATGCTGTTTATTAGCCAATCTTTCTTGATGTTCAGATCTTTTAAGATGTCAATATTTCTCCTCTTCTTTGTCCAAGATATTGTGAGAATCTTTCTATAGCATTTCAGCTCAAAAGCCCCTATTCTCTTTCTAAAGGACTGAGGATACGCAACTAACTAACCTTATTTCTCTTACGTTTATTTTTTTTCAGGACACGCCCTCATACAACATGCAAGCTTTTGGAAATAGTATTGATTCTGCCTTACTCGACTTCAGTTTATTTATCCTTATATGTCCTTGAGCAAAAATTGTTATTTAGAAATAGTACTGTGTGATATTGTATGAGTTCTCATCAACCTTGGTTTATTTCACCTCAAAATATGTTCAAGTGTAACAAGTGATCATTTATAACAATAACTGTGTTTACCTTACTCAGCACGCACTGATATTCCCTCTGGCGGCCACCCTATTTCCTTTTTTTTGTGTGTGTATTTGTTTCTACCTACAGGGGCATAGCCTTCACAGGAGAGTCATTTCAGTTCATGCGGGTGAAAGGATTCTGAGCCTGTTAACTTCTCAGCTATATGAATATTAAAGACAGAACTAAACTGTAGCTGTTGTGACACTGAAACACACATAAACACACGTGTTACTAGAGTCCTGAAATATTTTCGCCCTGGAATTACCATTTTAAACGTGCCCAGAACGTGGAATTCCCATTTAAAAATGCCAAGAACCTGAAATTCCCATTAAAAAAATGTCTAGAAAATTTCATGTCATTATAAGGACTTGTGTAATAATTACAAACCATGAATGTCATAAACAGATTTTCCTGAACTCTTTATTCTTAAAAATTTTCAGATCCTGCTTTAATATAAATCCCTGATGCCCTGCCCTGTTTAACCTCCCAAACAAATTATAACTGGCGCAGGGTAGGGGGGGGGGGGGTGTCAGTAATGGCAACATTAAGTATTACACAGGGAATACCACTAAAGTAAGTGGGAAAAAAAAAGTTAAGGACTCTTTTTTCCTGCCTTCGGATGAACTGGGCATCTAAGGTTAGACCTAAATTTTACAGACACATTCGGCAATCTTTGAGTGATGTGGTCAATATCATCATGGCCACCTTTACCTCCCAAGTCTTTAGCAGGTAATACATACACATTTAAGGCTGGGTCTACCTGGGAGCCATGGTCCTTTAACAAAAAAATTCAAGCTTCGTTAGGATCTGGACCCATGACATTCGGAATCGCAGGTGAGCAACTAGCTGTTCTAGGTGGGTATGGATAATTACGGAACCGCAGGTGAGCAACTAGCTGTTCTAGGTGGGTATGGATAATTACGGAATCGCAGGTGAGCAACTAGCTGTTCTAGGTGGGTATGGATAATTACATGTACATATATCAACCTGAATAGCCCGTCATAATGTGATACATGTACAACAGTGATGTCTTGTTATTGTGACTGACAAAACTCACTACACCCAGCCATGAAACACTGTTATGAAATACAATGAACCACAACAACAAACTCCCTCACAGTACAGGTAATCATAATTGTCTAGTCCATTTTACACCTGGTATTAATTGGTACTGCCATGGGCTGTTACTACCATGCCCCCTTACAGCATAATGGAACAATATTATTTGAAAAGATTAAAAGGTATCAACAATTGGAATTTGAAATTGTAAAACTGTAATGGATGTCAAGACTAATATCTGTTTCCTGAGTTGAAATGGTTAAGGGAAACAAAAACTAGCAACATTAAATACTACTTTGCATGTTGCAAGAAGCAGCTAAAGGTTACTGTAAGACTGGATACCTAATCTCATAGAAAATATCAACTGTAAAATTCAACAAATCATAAATAGAGCTACAAGGGTTTGGCTTGAGCCGGTCCACTGGGATATGAAAGGCAGAGGAAATCATATCATTTTTTTGACTGAGTAACCTAATGTAGTGGTTTCCAATTATCTATGACCAGATGAGGACTCCTCTTATTTCTGAAGGTCTGATATGGATTCAGCATTTTTTAATAGTCACACTAAAGAACTTACCTTTTCTTCTTCAAGCTCCTTAGCAGTCAACTCTCACAGAAAGTTCCGGCTGTTGATCCATTTTTAGACTTTAGTCTTGTTGCAGAACTTGAGTTTTGCATGCACATCTGTTTTTCAGATCTGGTTTATTTGTAAGCAGACCACTCGTTCCTCTCCTTTCAGGCAAATGCACTTGACTTTGAAGGAAACACCCCTAATTAGTAGACTTTTATGACATGCTTGTTAGGAGGCAGTCTTCTCTTCTTTCCCCCTGAAACTGGGCCCCGGTATTAACAAGAGGAAAATTACAATTTATAAATTTTGGAATCACAAAAGGGTTTTCTTTCTACAGATATTTTTTGGTTCTTTTGTAAATTTATATCATGTAGTCCTTAAATTTATTCTGCATGCCACTAAATCAGAAACACTAACATTATACATTATGTATTAAATGCGGGATTAGATGCTACAACAAGTCAATTAACCTATTGTGTGAAAATGACCCCAGACTGGTTAGATCAAAGGCACTGGTCAGACTTCTAAAATAAACTGTAGAATATCATTTAATGGTAGATGTACTATAGCTACCCACCTGAAGTTTATTGTACAGATCAAGGTTGATAGTTTTAATATCATCAAGTTGTTTCCGCAGCCCAATCACTGTATCTTGTTTTTCATGAATATCTTTCTCCAGAAGTCGAAGGGCTACTTCCATTTCTGTTTTCATACCAATCTGAAGCTCTAGTTCTTTTTCAACATCCTGCAAGGAAGTATATAATATTTAGTTTTGTATCAAATGGCTGTGATATACATATTGGTTTAACTCTCTCAGTCTAAGGTAGTTATGAATTCAACAATATCTATGCCAACATTTTTTAATTCTAGAACAACAATTTTGTAGGCTCACAGAGCTGAAAAAATACAGCTTTGGAAGATACAGTGTTATATTAACACTTGAAAAAATATGGGGTTAACATAAGATTAAGAATGGGATAGAAAAAGTAAAGAAATTTGTACCATATGTGGTGTCACCAATAAATATATGGCAAGTTCCTTGGTACTAAAACAGTTAATTCACCTACTACATTACAACATGGGTGATAACGAAGGTTGCGTAATATAAACATCGTCAACAACATTTAATATTAGTTACAAATGCTGGAATGCGCTTGACTGGCAACTTCATTTTAAAACATAAATAACTTTAAAAAAAAACCCCCACATCCAAGGGAAATACATCATATGCTCGACATACTATAACCTTTCAAGAGACACATAGTTTGTAGTGAGATAATATTCAAATAGTTTTTGATTGTATGTGTAGGGGTTAGTGGTATTTTTCCTTCCCTGTGGAAGATGAATCCACAGCTGAGATGCAGAGTGCGTGAAGCTTGTTCTGTATAGCTCTATTCTAGATTTAGGAATATGCAGTATGTTAAGACGCTTGCTATGTCTCCTGTTATATTTAAATACTGCCCAAAGGTAATCTAGAGAATCTTTGATAGTGAGTGAGTGAGTGAGTGAGAGAAAGTATATGAGTGTGTATGTGTGTGGATGCATACATGTGTGCATTTGTGTATGTGTGATACATTACAACTTTGTTCAGATATGGAGAAGCTTGGGACTGAATACATATTCTTCTTCTTTTGTCAAAATCTGCTTGTGCCGCTAGGCGTCGCAGTCTATCAGATGATCGGCAACCGAGCCAGGGCGCGCTCAGTCGCTTCATATGCCGTGATGTTATGAAGTCTCAAGTTGTCCGTGACTCCTTCAATCCATCTTCCTCTTGGTCTTCCCCTGCCTCTTGGTGTTTCGATTCTCATGTTGTATGCTCTTGATGCTGGCATCGCTGGTTCCATTCTCATTAGGTGACCAAACCATTTCATTCTTTGCTTCTCAATAAATTTAACGATGGGTATGGTTCCAATAGTTCTTGTAATCATATCGTTTCTCACTTGATCTATTCTGGTTTTATTCGCAGCCATTCTCAAACATCTCATTTCACAGGTGGTTAGTCTTCTCTGGTGTTCTTTTGTTAATGTCCAAGTCTGACATTGATAACCTAATGTCGGTATAAAGATTGTATTTATAATTTGTCTTTTTATCTCAGCTGGGACAGCAGGGTGTTTTAAAATTGGGGCAAGCTGGTATGCGACATTGTTGGCGTGTTGGATTCTTGCTTCGATCTCTCTGTCTATTTTACCATTGAATGTAAAGATAATTCCCAAGTATTTAAATTCTTGCACTTGTTTTAGGCATATTAGTTTACCAATATATTAGTTTACCAATAATCCCATACACTATGCACAACTGAACCCTACTCAATTGGATCTTTAGGCTGTCTGTCTCATGGTCTGAAGGCCATTAGTTTGTTTTTATAATTGAATTGTTTTGCAAATGAATGCCATTTTTTTCTTCCATAAAACCAGCAAACTATTAGACAGCCCGAGCCAGATGGGATAATACCCACCTGCCTGAAGTAAATCCTATCTTTATTCTTTTTTTTTAAACAGCTAACCAATACTCTCTCTACCACCTAGGCAATTAATCTTCTTCTTCATGTTCACCCGCATAAACTCCAGCAGAAAGTTCTGGTTGATTGTCCATTCCTAGGCTTTAGTCTTTTTCCAGAACTTGAGTTCTGCATGCACCACTGTTTTACAGATCTAGCTGATGTGTATGCAGACTGTTGGTTCTATGCCTCTAAGGCACATTCACTAAGATTTTCAAACCAACACCATTAATTAGTTGATTTTTATGTCATGCTTGTTAGGGTCTATTCATTTTTTCCTCCCACACTGGGGCTTCAGAACCCAGATAAAAAAGGTAGTTAATGATAACCAAAAAAAAAAAAATGTATTTCTTGCATCCAAAGAAATGTATTTCTTCCATCTGCATCAGCACAATAATGTAAAGTCTGAATCTAGAAAAATATAACGTCTCCAAAAAACTCACCAGCCGAAGTTTCGTTTCATCTTCCAGCTGTCTCCTGGCTTCTGCATACAACGTGTCTAAGCCTGCTCTGGAAGTTAGGTATGTCTCTCTCTCAGCATCAATGTCTTGTTTGGCAGCCTAGAAATGAGGTCAAGTGGTTTCAACAAAATAAAAAGTGGAAACTACAGCGCCATATCAATATTTATTTGTAGCAAAGTTAGCACAAGTCTGTAAATTATTTTAGGTAATATCAAGGCAAGTCTTTTTTTTTAAAACAGCTGACCATTACTCACTCTACCACCTGGGCAATTAATCTTCTTCTTCATGTTCACCAAATATGTGAACAAATATGGCAAATGAGGATTAATTTGGTCAGCACCATTTTGATCCTTGTCTGGCTTCCATCTCCTGACACAGCTGGGAAGCTTTTTCAGGCCATAAACGAAGGGATTCTAGCACAAGAGAAATTGGCAAGAGGACAAAAATGACTGTACACCTCTCTACCTATGTGTCAATCCTAACCTATGGCTGTTAAGTCATGAGCAATTACAACTGTTCACAGAAGCCAGCTTCAGGCCTCAGAAATGAGGTATCTGAGAAAGATGGTCCAAATGACCAGAAGGAACAAAGTTTGCAACCAGACATGATCTAGAAACCCAGACTATACAAACTCTAGTGGATCAGTCACAGCTGAGATGGTTGTTTGTACATGTATGCAGCATGGGAGAGAATTAGCCATGGGAGGTCAAGAACCAGGAAACCAGACCTCCAGGACGACCCAGGGTTCACTGGGAAGAATGCCTTCAACAGTTTTTGACTGACAGAGAAATCCAAAAAAGAAAACTGGTGATAGGAAAGTCTGGCGATCTCTCTGGTAAACCTCTACACCCCAAGGTAGAAGAGGATTGACTAAGTAAGTAAGCCTGCCAATCTTTTCAGTGCTCAAATGATAACAGAGAACTAATTTGGGCAAAACTATGCCCATCTGTGTCTGGTTCATACCTCCTGACCCTATGACATCAAAGATTCTACTAGTATGTACGCTACCTTAGTACAGCTTTGGGTCATTAGGACACACATGCCTTCCTACTAGTTCAGGAAGGGGGGGGGGGGGAGAAGGGGAACCAGAAGGGCTTCATAAAACAAAGAGACGATTCTCTAGCAACTAATAATGTTAATAGCTTGAAAGCAAAGAATAAACAAATGAGTTCTGTGTGGAGAATAATGTGTATTTAACACTTATTGTCACTACAGATGATGGGAACCTTAAAGGAAGCACATGACAGGATAACTATAACATACCTGGCATGTCACAAGAGGCAGCTAAGTATGGTTAGTTTGTGGCTGACAACTTCTTCTCATAGAAACCACTAGTTGCATAATCCAAACAATAATGAACAAGTCTACAAAGCATAAGCTGACTGAGGGAGCTATGCTCCAATTACCATGTAGAACATCCTTTGCAGAATGCTGCTTTGTAGAATGCCTGAAAGAGCCTTGGTCTCTTGCCAGCTCTCCCACTTCATATCCTTTCCTACCCAAAGAGTCACTTATATCCTGTGCCAATCTTTGTGCTGGTCAGACCCTGCCTAGTACCATACTTTCCATTATTAATTTTTCCAATCTGCAATGGTGCTTGATATGTCTAAAATATTTCAGTTCCCCAGACATGATGCTGTTTACTAGCCAATCTTCATTCATGTTCAGAACTTTTAAGATGTCAGTATTTCGTTTTTTTCTATTTCCATGGTATTCTCAGAATCTTTCTATAGCATTTCAGCTTAAAAGTAATTATTTCTTCCTTAAAGACTATGCTCCATTAGGGGGGATAACAGTTAAAAAGAAGACATATATCTTGTATCATCCTTTTTTCTGCATCATGTGAACAGTGTATAGTGTGGTTCCTGTTGCTGTTCAATATCTACTTTATTCAATAAGCTTCTTCTTCTCCAGCATTCCCAGGCCTTGAGGTTTCACTGCCTCCGTTCATCTTTTTAATTGCCTTTCTATTTCCAGTTGCCCCAACCCCTGTAGTCTATTAGACCTCATGATGCTCTAGCACTCAGCAGTAACTGAAACAAATTTTGTATTTTGCTGCTGCTTCTCACTATCCATTCTCCACTGCTGGCATCTTTGATGGGTATAAAGATTTATAATAAGACTGTTCTCAAAACTGTATAATAAGGTTTGATTTATTTTAGTTGTACTCCAAGTTTCAAAGCTATATAGGACAACTAGTCTTATCATCATCATCATCAGGTGCCTTGCCGACTGGCATGGGCGATCATGCCTCTCCATAATCTGCGATCTCCTGCAGCATGTATCAGTTCGTGTGCCGACACACCTCCATGCCATGCATCAAGACTATCAAACATCTTCTCTCGTTGTCTTCCTCTATCCCTCCTTCCACAGATAACTAGTCTTATTTGTGTCTTATTTACTGTGATTGACTGTACCCAATAAGTTTACCAAAGACATTTGGAGAAAGAACACCTCATTGAGTTCCCAATGATCAAATACCTAGCCTGATGATTACGGGTTGCTACAGGCCTCATCTAAACAATGACAACTGCCATTAGTAACATCAACTGTACTCTCAGGAGAAGTCCATCTTTGAAATCAGTCCTACCTGTTACTACTAACAAGGTTCTGGTAAATAACAAGCATAAGCAACTATCAAACCCAATTTGGCTTTTTCTTCCTGTTATGGTTAAAAAATGCAGCCTGCTTCCTTTATCTTCATTATAATCAGGTTTCATGCCATTTTCAGGATTCTCATCATAGCATATATGAAAGCCATTCTGTCCCCTGTCAACTTTCCTGTCTCATGAAATTTCATACTGACTTTCTGTGAAGATACCGTTTTCAAATGATAGTCGAAATAAGTCTGTTAAGCTGAGAAATAATTTAGAACATCTCCATTATGAAATGATGCTCAGATTCAAAAGCAAAAATAGTCACTAATCTATAAATATAAAGAATATATAAGTGTCCCTCACTCACCTCCATCTTCTTTTCATAACCAAATGTAACATCATTTTTTTCTCCCATGAGCCTATCTACCTCTGCCTGCAGAGTGAAGATGCTATTCTTTGAAATGGCCAAATCCTCTTTCATAAGACAATTGTCTGCAGTAACAATCTCTAACTTCTGCTGCAAGTTGGCCACAGTCGCACTGTTTGGAAAGATGCAGTAAACACAAATAACAATTAAAAAATCACAGACTGATGAATAAACACCACAACAATATATGATGAGGGGCTTCTCCATGGCTAAGGGAATAAGTTGTATGCTTTGCAGGTGATGAGTTCATTTTGCAAAGTATGTCGTTTAGTTCACACGTGCAATTTGTAGGGAGATTCATGGGGAACTGTAAGAGATAGAGTCTGTGCTATGTGTGACATTGTCAGCAGACAGAGGCATGGTCAGAATGTCCCAGAAAAAGTCAGACTTCTGTAGAGTTTGAAAGATAGAGTCTGTGCTTTGTGTGAAATTGTCAGCAGACAGAGGCATGGTCAGAATGTCCGAGCAAAAGTCAGACTTATTTAGAGTTTAAAAGACAGAGTCTGTGATTTGTGTGACATTGTCAGCAGACAGAGGCATGGTCAGAATGTCCCAGAAAAAGTCAGACGTGTAGAATTTCTTTTCACATGGGCCATGAGTGCAGGGACTGGCCAGTGGGTGCTGCAGTTCAGAAGTTCGACAAATGATTCATGATAATTCCCGCCCAGGTGATGTGATAATCTACACAGATGTCCCTGTGTTGAGGGGCAGACGAAACTCACTGGGGTTGTTAGCAAAAGTGAATGGATGTCACTTAGTGCTACAAAGCCTGGCATATAACACCACAACATCTAGTTTGAGAATGGAGGTGAAGGCAGTCACTGCAGCCTTTCGCAGGCTTTAGAATAAGCAGTACATACATGTTGTAACTGTAGCAGACTTAGAGAGCATGTTGAGAAAGGTGGAGACTGGTACGCTCCATGAAGAAGTCCTGGGTATTTAGCATCCTTTGGATATTTCCCCCAGGATATGCTGGTGTATTAGGTATATTAGAAAATAAACAACCAGACAGGCTGACTGGTTCTGCACAACTTGGTGGTGAACTGATGCATGACAAGCTAGATGTTATCGGGGCCCTTCGGGAGCAAGTGAAAAGTGCGGAAGCACAGATGCATCATCATGGTCTGAAAAGAATGGTACTGTGAAGGTGTAACCAGGGGATCGGGTCGAAGATCAGCACCACTCAAAGGAAAGGGGAGACGGATATAAAATCAGACTGCTACTGGTAGGTACCATTGAAATTGGAACACTGCGCTTGCTGCTGAAGATGGGGATGGAGTGCTTATGGAATGTCCCAATTGCTGTGATGTCGATTCTTAATTAAACATTAAGACCCTTTTGATTAAATTACATCTACTACTTCTCTGTGAAGGTAGCACCGTGGTTGAATGTTTGTTTACCTGCTACCAAAAGACCTTACATTCAAATCCACATCAAGGTTTTTTCAGAACTGACCAAGCTTGGTTACCAGGCAACCCAGCCTTAAATGAGTTCAAGTTAATGTCCTAGGAAACAGAGGCAGCCAACTGGTCTTTTTTAAAAGTATAGGTCTAGCATCATATGCCCAGTACGTAAATAACGTAAAAAATGGTCTGTAAAATGTATATACTGATAATATGAAACAACTAACTGACAGTAAGAAAAACTAGTACAATATGTAAATGTCTGCACTGTGAATGTGAAGCAAATGACCGACAGTAGCTAAAAATATTACATACATAAATGTCTGCCCAGTGAATTTGAAACAAATAACTGACAGCAGCTAAAACTATTACATACATAAATGTCTGCACTCTGAATGTGAAGCGAATGACTGACAGCAGCCAAAACTACATAAATGTCTGCCCTGTGAATGTGAAACAAATGAGTGCCAGGAAGTAAAACTATCACATACATAAATGTCTGTACTGTGAATGTGAAATAAATTACTGACAGCAGCCAAAACTACATAAATGTCTGCCCTGTGAATGTGAAACAAATGAGTGCCAGGAAGTAAAACTATCACATACATAAATGTCTGCACTGTGAATGTGAAATAAATTACTGACAGCAGCCAAAACTACATAAATGTCTGCCCTGTGAATGTGAAACAAATGAGAGCCAGGAACTAAAACTATCACATACATAAATGTCTGTACTGTGAATGTGAAACAAATGACTGACAGTAGCTAAAACTTACATACATAAATGTCAACAAATGAGTGACAGGAAGTAAAACTATCATACACATAAATATTTACACTGTGATTGTAAAACAACTTACTGACTGACTTGCAGACATAACTACAAACTTACGTGAGATGCCTGTTTAGTTCCTCTAGATAATTCTTCTGGTCCAAGATGGTTGCCATTTTAGAACTGCCTTCAGCGCTAGCAAAATGAATGACACCAGTTAATACAAAAGTGATCCACAGATGAAGCTATAATGACATTAAAGTCACCATCTTCAAACTATGTTATCAAATCTCACTGGGAGGAATAGTTTGTCCTCCAGTGCTTAATGGGTGGCACAAGCTATTATTCCATGTAAATGCACTGTCTTTGATGTGATCAGTCTATATTCTTTATGGATACTCTTTTGCTCTCTCAGTATTAAAATTTCTCAAAAGTGATGCCAGAGCTGGTATTTGGTGTTGCCACATTCTTACACGATGTCCAAACCATTTGATCTTCTGTTACTCAATTTACTGTTAGTAAATAATGTTTGCTAGTAAAGTTCCACAATGTCTAATAGTGAAAAGTTCTACAATGCCTGATAGCAAAAGTTTCCACAAATGTCTGCAAGTAGCCTTCCACAATGTATGATAATACAAGTTTCCACAGTGTCTGGTAGTAAGTTTCCACAATGCCTGATTGTGAAAATTGCTAATATATCTGAAAGTAAACATTTCCACAATGTCTGCAAGCAAGTTTCCACAATGCCTGATAATAAAAGTTTAAGAATTGGTTAACTTGTTTGCATGTAACTAATATTTTTGTACATCATGTTGGTTTTTTGCATCAAAGCTCAGGTGCTCAGGAATAGTGGACAGTTAGGTTTAGGGCTGCAGGTCTGGTAGAGTTAAAAAAAATCAAACAAAGACTGTCAATATTTGTTGGGTAGTCTATAAGAAGAAGAAAACTAAAAAAACTTGGTGTCAAATGGCAAACCTGATGAAAAGAAAAGGGCAAGAGGAAGTCTAAGAGTTAAAAACCTAAAAGTATTGGGCATGACAAGAACACAAACCTATCCATGATTCTCATGACTGTGTATGATGACAAACTTATTGACACAAAAATGGTGATGTTGAAATTACCACTTAAATATATGCTTAGCTCAGGAAAAAAGATAGGATTGCAAGATTATAAGCACCAGCTCATGAATTAACTGACAGAAGCAAGTTCAAAGGTATTGGTATCCATAAAATATACTTTGAAGCCTGAAGTTCATGACAACATAAAGGGCTTCTCAATGGCCAAAATGCAGACAATAGGCACCAAGTTATGTATAAACAGAAAGATTTGAGATGTGCCCAGTGCAACCTGCAGTCAAAACCCAAGCACACACACACTTTTACTGTTCGGGGTGCCCAAATCAATCACACTTGCACCCAGTGTTTGCCCTCTATCATCTAAAACATGCCTGAGCAGTTTCTATTTGTAGAATTGTATATTTTCTTTTGATTAGGAGTCACTGTCTGTGCCAGTGGTAACAATATTTAATAATGTTACAGAATTGTTAGGAAAACTGCTCTGGAACAGCAGCAATTCCCCCCCTCCCCCCCATTTCCCCCTTCCATCCAATCCTCTGATGCTAAACCCAAGGAGTTAAGCAGTAAACAGTGGGTGTTTTTATCCTAGAAAAAACTATGCTTTTAAGCAGTAAACAGTGGGTGTTTTTGTTCTAGCAGAAACTATCACTTTAAGCAGTAAGCAATGGGTATTTTTGTTCTACATGAAACTAGCACTTTAAGCAGTAAACAGTGGGTGTTTTTGTTCTTGATTAAACTAGCAGTTCAAATAGTAAAAAGAAGGTGTTTTTTCTCTGTTTGTACCTGTAAAATAGTCTTTGCAGTAATCTGAGCTAGAAAAAAAAAGTTTAACACAGATTTCTCTGAGATAATTCAAACTCATATTTCACCAACTGATCAGCTCATTCAATTCCCACTGACCAGTTCAAAAGTATCAAATGCAGGGATTACTGCTGAGAAATTTTAAAGAAACAGTTCTTGGGATCAGACATACATGCACCTTAATGAATCAGCCTTCTGAAGACTTAAATCAAATTAAACTATTATGTAATTAAATCACATTCTGGTAAGAAAAACTCAATTACCTCTCCTCATCTGTTATGTCGTTGTATTTTCCATCTTTCATGTACAAACTGAAGTCAATAACTCCCATCTAGAAAATAACCATTGATAGAGGACTATGAGGAGGTTATATAAATATAATATAGTATGGCAGATAGCTGTATAACATAACATTATTTCACGAATCATATTTCACCAGGAGCAGTTGGCCACGCTAGTTTCAGGAGACCCAGGTTCAAATACTTAGTAAGGAGCTGGATTTTTTCTGTAAGGCAAAATACAATCTTAAACTGTACAGTCCATGGCAACTGTTCTAGCTACCTCAGGTTCAAGACCCTCCATCCCTTCCTGTCCTACCCTGGCCCAAAGAGTTAATGCTTAAAATAGGCTGGAAATGCTTATGGTATAGAGCCATGCAGGGTTTATGAATATGAGGAAGAAGAGTATTAATTGTATTAATGCAAAATCTTAGTTTGAAACATGCTTTTACTCTTGACAGTGTTTATAGTGTTTCAAAACTGACAACTGTTACTCCATGTTTTGAGAGAACTGAGATCCCCAAGTAGGTTCTGATGCTCCACTGGGGGTGGGGGGGGGGGGGGAAGGGAGAGGGAAGAGACAGACCCACTAGCCCCTCTAGTAATCTGGTAATCTTAATTTCAGCTTTATAGCAAACGGGTCACCCAATAGTTGCTCCGCTTATGTGCCAATGAAAAACACATAGAATGTTTATTACAGTCTCTTGTGGAAAGATTGACAGACTGCTGTCTCAGCATATGCACTAGCATAAACACACATTAAAAGCATACGGTAGCCATCCAAAGTGCTAACACAAACAGTCTGACATTAGAAATGCAGTTCCTCATGGATGGTAGCAGAAGTCACCAACAGATCAGCAGCTGCACAAGCGATCAATTTTAATCACATAAGGCCACACTAATATTGCGACAACAGGCATCGTGCCATTTTCTGAATCTACAATTCACACCACCAAGTTGGTCACAGTAGAAAAACATTCAAAATGAAATCCGCAGCTCAGTGTTACGCCATGCACTCAACACAAAAGCTGGGCGGCGAAACTATATCCTTTCAGTCTACAAATGGAGCAAAAATGCAACGGCCACTGTCTGGCAGAAGCAAAAAAATTTGCCATGGCTCAAAACAGTGACCCTGCCTAGCGTCCATTTTGACCGGAAGGTCACTAGCCCCTCTAGCATGCTCAACTAACTAGGGGTGTTTCCTTTGAAGTCAGACTGCATCCATCTGACATGCGAGGAACCAACAGTCTACACACAAACAGGCCAAATCTGTACAACAGATGTGCACACAAAACTAAAATTCTGAAACAAGTTTAAAGATCAAAAGCGGACAATCAAACTAGAACTTTCAACCGGAGTTTATAGCTGTTGAATGCAAAGAGAAAGTACGAGTCAGAGAGAGAGAGAGAGAGAGAGAGAGAGAGAGAGAGAGAGAGAGAGAGAGAGAGAGAGAGAGAGAGAGAGAGAGAGAGTGAGAGAGAGAGTGAGAGAGAGACACACACAGACAGACAGAGAGAGACATAGAAAGAGAGACAGAGACACAGAGAGAAACAGAGAGAGACATTGACAGAGAGAGAAAGAGAGAGAGAGAGACAAAGAGAGAGAGACACAGAGAGAGACAGAGAGAGACACAGAGAGAGAGACACAGAGAGAGACACAGAGAGAGAGACACACAGAGAGACAGAGAGAGACAGAGAGAGAGACAAAGAGAGAGAGACACAGAGAGAGAGACAGAGAGAGAGACAAAGAGAGAGAGACACAGAGAGAGAGACAGAGAGAGACAAAGAGAGAGACACAGAGAGAGAGACAGAGAGAGACACAGAGAGAGAGACACAGAGAGAGAGACAAAGAGAGAGAGACACAGAGAGAGACAGAGAGAGACAGAGAGAGAGACAGAGAGAGAGACAGAGAGAGACAGACAAAGAGAGAGAGACAGAGACAGAGAGAGACAGAGACAGACAGAGAGACAGACAGAGAGAACCTAGTGGTGTGTGAGCTTGAGTGCTTGCATGAATGAGTTTCAAGTTGTAACGCATTGCCCATATATAATCCATCACCATCATCATCCAATATCATGTACAAAAAATTCCTCTGTAACAGTCTGTGCACACCTTCTCTTTAATAAGCCTTTTGCTCTGCCTCTTGCTGTCACATGTAAACCATGTACCTTATACTGAGTCAGTCTGCCTTGTGGTCATCCTCTTCTCTGCTTCATCAAAGACACTGTATCTCTTGCCAAGGTTGTATCTTAACTGAGACTGCTGTCCATATATCCTTAAATATTACTTTCCCACTTGTACTGTTGTCTGCCTTATCATGCATCCATATTCCATGTGTACAAGTCAGAACAGCAAGTGGATCATCACAGTCTGGTGAGAGTGATGCAGCGAGGAGTGATGAGGAAATCCGGCAGATACTTGATGCTCAGGGAAAGGCAAGACGGACATATAATCAGACTGCTACCTGGCACCATTGATACTGGAACTCTGCGCTGGCTGCTAAGAGTACGGAGTTCTTATAGAAATGCCCCGAGTGCTGTGATGTTGGTTCTTAAATCAACTCAGCTCAAATTAACTTGTAGTCTACTTCCTGCTTGCGGGCTTTCATCCATTCAATGCAGTATGATTTTTAAATGAAATTTATGTCTTTTAATGTGGCCAAAATATTTTTTTTGTATCTTCTTGTTTATTTCATTTGAATTTTTCACTTTTTTCATACTCAGTCTCTCAATGACTAATGCATTCAAGTGAATGTTGAAAGATGCTACAAAGATTATAGCACTTTATATTGCTATAATAAAAAAAAAGACTCTTTATGTCAGGGGCACATCCGGCCTATGATGTTTGATTTGTATTTATAGATCAATCAGCACTGGGTGGGTGATGTGGCCAGACGTCTTCACTTCTCCTTTACCTGGTACCAATTTTAGGTTGAGCCAACCTGCTAGTCAAGATCAATTCTGACAAATCAGCCTGAGAACTTCAGGCCAGCAGGTTAGCACCTAGCCATGGCTCCTGTGATGTTATCCCTAAAGTCCAGACACACAGGAATGCTGAATGTTGAATTAAGAATCGACATCACAGCACTCTGTATACTCCCATAAGCACTCCGTCCTCATCTTCAGGTGCAAGCGAAAAGTTATAATTCTGAGGGCACCAGTAACTGATTTTATATCCATCTCATCTTTCCCATGAGTGTTAAACATTGGCCCGATCCCGAAGTAACTCCTTGCAGCAACATTCTCCTCAGAACGTAATGATATATTTGTACCTCCGCACTGTTCACTCGCTTCCAAAGGGCCCTCAAAATATCTAGCTATGCATGCTCACTAATAACTCACTCCCAAAGGACTTTAAATGCCTAGTGGTGCAGAACCAGCCAGTCTATCTGCCTGCTTATTTCCCAGCACACTGGCATAACCGGGAGAAAATATCCAAAGGATGATTACCAAGAAACCCAGAATCGATGCTTGTCACTCTGCATGGAGCACGCCTGTCTCCACCTTTTATTAACTATAATTTCACCTCATCTTAGCCCCCTTGACTTCTTTTTCTGGGTATGCTAAAGGAGTAGGTGTGTTCAATGAAAATGACAGTTGTAACACACCTTTGTGAACACATAAAGAGTGAAGTATTAAAACTGATGGCCGTGTGGATTTATTTAATCGAGCTCATTTGAATTTTGCAAAAGGCATCAAATTTTGCATCGCAAGTGATGGAAATTATAAAAAAGACACTATTTCATATTCTATCTGAATAAAATGCTGTTAATAAATTACAAGAAATGAAACTAAATATTTTTGCCTATGTGTCCAGTGTAACAGAAAATTGTAAGCCAAAAAACATACCGGTTGATCTAAGTCTTCTCCTTTGATACACATATTACAGTCCAAAACATTCAGACCCACAAGAAGGCCTGCAATAACTACTCCCTCTTCCTCAAGCATGAAGGCTCCAGGTTCATAAAAATCACTGTAGGAAATATATCAAACAAATCACTGTAAGAATCATAAAAAGAACTGAAACAATCTAATCTAAAAAAAAAAAAATTACTGCATAAAATGTCAATAGTTTCAAAATTACTGCATGAAATGTTAACTATTATGTTTGCAATGATTATATATCACAAAAATCATTCCCTCCCTATATTTTTAATCCCTTCACTTAGTGAATAAAAAAAATAAAAAAAGAATAAAAAAATTAACTCTCTGAGTCCCATGGGGTTTAGCATCACAGGCCCAGGGGGGAGTAAAGAAAGTAATAAAATCGGTGCATCATGCATTTATTGGGCTTTTAGGTAGGAACCTATGTCCGTATGATGCGTTCCTTGGGACCCAAAGAGTTAACCAAAAAAAAGGGCCATAAACTGTGTGAATTGCTGAAAAAAATCATTTAAAAAACAATTATTTAACTTCTTCTCTTCTCTGCACATGGAATGCCTCATAATAAGGGAGTTTACACAAAGTATACTGAAATAAAAAAAGAAGAACATAGTAGCACTACATTCTATTTTATAATAAGAATGATTTACAAAGTTGCTCTTCTTCTCTTTTCTTTATTACTGAAATGCCTTGCGGCGTCAGGGCAGGAAGAGATATTTGGAACGGGCCGTTCTGTTCACCTCATAAAAAAGTACTTTTCAGTGTCTCTAATATTTCTGAGGCCCATCTTCTGTGTGGTCGAACCCTGACTCTTTTACCGCTGTATCTGTGTAACATTGCTCTTTGAGGCGCCCTGTCTGATGCCAATTCAGTAACATGGCCATATCATTTGATTTGTTGTCTACTTATAAAGTTCAGTATTAGTTTTGTGCCGACTCTCCTCGAGATATCATCGTTCCTATGTCAATCATTCCTTGTTACACCTAGCATAGTATGTCAACATTTCATTTCTGTCGTGACTATTTTCCTCATGTCTTCTGAAGACAGTGGCCAAGTCTGACATTGATAGCATAGCATCGGTAAGAATATTGTGTTGAACAGTGTTCTTTTAGTGTTCATATTCACATGCTTGCATTTCAAAACTGATGCCATTTGGGCTAAAACTTTATAAGCTTCATTTGATCTTTGTTGAATTTCTTTGTTATTCTTCCATTTTCTGGAGAAAAAAAAAGTGCTAAAAAGATATGTAAAATTCTTTCTTCTTTTTGTACCTTACTAAACCCCAATGGGGCATAGGCCCTCAACCAACTCATGCCAAGTTGTTCTATCCTTTGTTATCGCAGTCAGCTCTCCCAATCTTTCTAGCTTCACTCTCTAGCTCCCTTCTCCATGGGTTTGTTTTGGTGTTCCTTTATTTGCATGCCCCTGGGGGTTCCAGTGCAAAGACATTCTAGTTATATTGTTCTCAGGTTTTCTCAACGTGTGTTCTATTCAAGGCCAGCGTCTTTTCTTCACCTCTTGATCCACTGGAACTTGCTTAGTTCTCTCCCAAAGTTCTACATTAGTGATTCTATCCCCCCATTTAATTCCTTCTATTGTGCGCAGGCACCAGTTAATGAAGGTTTGTAGTTTATTAGCAATTGCCTTACTTGTTTTCCATGTTTCCATTTCATATAACATTACTGATTTGACATTAGAATTAAAAATGTTAAGTTTTGTATTTCTGTTTATTTCTTTTAGTGTTCATATTCACATTCTTGCATTTCAAAATTGGTACCATTTGGCCTAAAACTTTATAAATGTTATTATATCTTTGTTTAATTTCTTTATTAATTCTTCCATCTTCTGAAAAAAAAAATGTTTCCCAGATAGGTAAAATCCTTCCCTGGCTTTAACTAGTATTCATCATTTCTGATATTGATGGTCCTTCCTTTTCTGGAGAATGTCATCACTTCTATTTTGTCTATGTTGATCTTCATATTATAGTTGTCCAATTTTACACAGGTCACTAATACATTTTAAAAAATCCACTGATCAACATTTAAAATTTGTTTTCTCGAAATAAATGGAATATATTCCAAGGGGTCTAAAACAAATATTTATCTGTTGACTCGTGCGGTCGTGTTGTGACGGATATCACTGAGGCTTGCGGGAACATTTAATGTTAACATAGCTTTAGAAAAGCAACTGGGTTTACAAGGTAACCCCCCCCCCCCCCCCCCCCCACCAACGCTTCTACTTGAGAGGCAAGGAATCAACAGTCTTCATATAAATGAGTCAGATCTGTAGAACGGATGTGCACACAACAATAAAATTCCAGAAAAGGATTAGAGTCAAGTAGTGAATGAACAACCAGAACTTTCTCCAGGAGTTAAGGCTGATGAACGCGAAGAAGAAGGAGCCTCTTTTTAAAGGAGCAAGAAGCCTTAAGGACCCTCTTTTTCAGTTTGGCACAGTGGTCATGTGGTGTGAGACACATTCTTATAGATCAACTAACACCGTGATTTTGCACCAATGGGTGGTTCATTTCTGCAGGACAAGCTAGATGTTGTCAAGGCCCTTTGGCAGCAAGTGAACAATGCAGCGGCACAAACAGATCATAATGGTCTGGAGAGAATGGTACAGCCAGGAGTAAGCAGGGGATCTGGTTGACACCCTGCACTCAGAGGAAAGGCAAGATGGATATATATTCAAACTGCTACTAGCACCATCAAAATTAGAACTCTTCGCTGGCTGCTGAAGATGGGAATGGAGCACCTAAGGGAATGTCCTGAGTGATGTGATGTAAGTTCTTAGCTAAAAACTCCAAGACTCTTGACAGTCTGTGGGTTATGTGGTTAACAGCATCTAGTCATGTTTACTCCCTCAGGCAAAACCTGGCACCCATTTTGAGCTGGGTTGACCTGGGAGCCAAGGGTAATTTTGAAAAATTCTGAATTTACATGGATTTGAATCCAAGACCTTCAGGCCAGCTAAAAAGCATCTAGCTAATATGCTACCATGGCTGTATATTTGGCAATAATATATGATGCAGAAACCTCAACAATGAATACCAAATCAGAAAGTCAAACTGAGGCCCTTGAGATGTTGGTATAAAGAAGATTAGGCCAAACTTCATTGGAAACAAAAGCAATAAAAAAAAAAGGCCCTACTGAGGTTGGGAATGAGAACAGCGTTGGTTAAAAAAAAAAAGAGAGAGAGAGAGAGAGAGAGAGATAGAGAAGGAATTGTAACATAGTTTCACCAATTGACACACATAGCACGCATAGCAACTGCACTGGTGGCATAGGGGGGTGTTTGAAACCAGGTGTAAAGGGGGTTGATAGTGACATAACACTAGGAGATGAATGTATTATCTTCAGCAAGCAAGCAGCTAACTCTGCAGCAAAAATCCAGGGCATTAAAAGAAAAAAAAAACATGTTGCAATTAAACTGGTCATCTCACCTTTGACACCTCTTTTTATTTTTAAATCATCAGAATTTTCCAGGGAATAAATTACTCAAACAGGAGTTGATTAATCCTGAATTTACTCAGTATCTTAATCATCTTCTGTCCTTTACTCCCTCAACAGAGCGTAGACCCTGAACCAGCTCCGGCCTGAACCAGCTCTGGCCTTAACCAGCTCCGGCCTGAACCAGCTCTGGCTAAGTTGTCATATCCAGAGATTTTTTTTTTTTCAAGTGATATGTATTGTTATGCAGTACGTAACCTTGTTATTTTTTAAACAACATTATTTTGTTCAATGCTTCTGTAATAGACATTTTACAGTACACCTTTTTTCAGACACTTTATGATGAGTTCCGACTCCATTTTCAGATATTCTGTGAAACTAGTCACATCTTTTGCCATCACTTGTAGTTCACCCTATGTCCCCACCTTCTTCACTTTTTCTCTCTCTACTTACCTTCTTTGTGGGTTTTGGGTCTGTTTTTATTCAGCAAGGTCATTCTGGCTATACTGTTACCAGGTTATCTCAATGTGTGTCCTTACTAGCACCAGCATCTTTTCCACACCCCTTGACACTTTAGTTCTCTTGATTTTCTAAACTGTTTAGTTCTCTCCCAAAGCTGTACACAAGGGATTCTACCACACCATTGAATTCTTTTTATTCTGCACAGGCATAAGTTAATGAACGTCTGTATTTGACTAATAACTGCTTTAGTTGTTCTCCGTGTTTTAGCTCCATACTATAGTAAATAGCCGACATAAAAGCTAAATATTTAAGCTTTGTACTAGTTTAAATTTTAAATGTTAAATTTTTGTTTTTAAAGTTGTTACATCTCCATAATAAAGGCTGTCTACAAAGTACCCACTGCTGGCTTTGGGAATATCTCATGGTGAAGCCCGAGTCTCTTCCATGATGCGACTTTTGTACAGCCATTCAGAAGCCACAAGAGCTTTTTTCGGTTATTGGTGAAATTGTTCCCTAGTATTGAAATCTGTAAACTCATTTACTCACATCTAAGCCACAGAGCTGTGTGGTTTCAATTTCCTTAGACTTTAGATAACAAAATCAAACAATGAATAAATATACATTCTCATAACCACTGGCACCCATAAACTAGACGTAGTGAGGTGTCTCTCTTAAAATATAACTTACTGAAGAAGTGTGTCCCTGTTCTCTATCATCAGCTTGAAATAATCAGAGAGCGATTTCTGCATCAGTGCAAGCCGTAACCAAGCCCTGGCTCTACCTAGTGGTGTCCTAAACAGAGAAAAACATTACAGTTAGCATTATATTCAAATAAATGTAAAAATAAAAAAAATAGAAATAGTAATAATTTTAGCAGAAGGCATGGTACCAGAAAGGAGGGGCAGGGACCAACCAAAATGATAATGGGCACAGGATAAAAGTGACTCCTTGAATATGAAAATACATAAGGTGGAAGAGCTAGGAAAAGACCGAGTTTTTTTTTCAGGCAGACCATGATGAGAGCGACGTTCTGCAAAGGACCTGCTACCTGATGATGATGATTCAAATAAAATTATATAACTAGAAAAATGGGTGAAGAAGCTCACAACAAATGCAGTAATAAACAAATGATGGATAAGATGATTGAGTTTTGTGTGTGTTTGTTTCAACAGAAAGAAAACATAAAAATAACAAAAGGCAAAAATAACACAAAGGTAATTTCAATCAGGCACATGAGTATTCCGCCTGTGCAGAACAGAAGGAATTGAACAGTATAAAAATTCACTAAAACAGAGTTTAGGAAGAGAACTAAACAAACATTAATAAACCAAGAGATTAGAAAAAGACAATGACACTGGATAAAACACACTTTAAAAAAAAAATGTTAATCTTTTTCTTGGTGTTCACTGTGTGTAAACCCTGGCTGAAAGTTCTAGTTGATAATTCACCTTCGAATTTTATCCGTTTGTGTGTGTGATCCATTTTACAGAGCCAGAAGGTAAATGGTAGATGTACATAAAGGAATTAAATACATATGGACACCAGGGGAGACAGATTTCTTTAGTATTCTCTGACCAAAAGCAAAAGTTAAAAGAGACAAGATGCAGTGACTGGGATTCAAGGTAATCACTCACTGCGTGCTGCTTTGGGCACACAGGGTTAAAAGGTAGATTAACAACATTTGGAGGCAGAGATTTTGTTTAACTTGATGTAAATGACATTTTATTTTTTCAGCAAATCAAACAGTCTATCTACCCATTTAGAGAGAATGCCTGGTGAAACCATGTCACACATGGCATACACTAAAACACGAGACGGGCATAGAACACGAGGTAGACCAAAAACAATATGGAAAGATATCAGAGAAACTCTACAGTAGCATGGTGTGTCTATGGTCAAGGCGGCCAGAAGAGCAAGAAGCAGAACTGTAAATCTCCCCCTTTGGGGCCCCTTTGTGAGGGAAACAAGAACAGACCCACTGTCTTCCCAACAAGCGTGACCTAAGAGTTGACCAACTGAGGGCTTCCTTCAAAATCACAGTGCATCTGCCTTAGAGGAAAGGAACCAACAGTATGCATAAAAAATGTCAGATCTGTAAAATGGATGTGTGTGCAACACTCAGGTTCTGGAACAAGACTAAAGTCTAGAGGTGGACAACCAGAACTTTCCACTGGAGTTTACAGCTGGAGAACATGAAGAAGAAGAAGAAGAAATCTCCTTCAAAGCCTGAAGTGGTAAAAGAGGAAATGAAGAATGTCAGAAGATTAGTTGCATGCACTTGTCTGGAAGCTGCAAATCACACTACACATTTATTTCTTTTGTGTGGTTTTACTAATTAGTTTTATGTTCAACACTTTGCCATTGCTTTCTTAATGTTAAAACACTGATTCCACTGTCTCCCCATGTAGGTTTTTAGGGCCCCATTTTAGGGAAACAAAGAATAGACCCCCTGCTTCCCAAAAAAGAATATCAACTAATTAGGGCTGTTTCTTTCAAAGTCAGAGTGAATCTGCGGCAGAGGCAAGGAACCAACAGTCTGCATACAAATAAGCCAGATCTGTAAACGGCTGTGAGGCAAAACTCCAATTCTGGAACAAGACCAAAGTCCAGAAGTGCATGAAAACCAGAACTTTCCGTCAAAGTTTACAGCCAGTGAATGTTAAGAAGAATATGCTTGCCACTTTCAAAATCAATGAAAAGCAGTCTGCTACCAAATCAGCTGCAGCTGGTAGAACTGCTGGAACTGAGAAACTGCATTCACAACCCCTTAACCACAGGCATCGACTTATGACATTATGAGAGGAAATCAATCTAAACATGCATGCAACACTGGGAAGAGAGAGTTTTATCTAAACACAGTATTAAAAGATAAGATACAAACGTCTTGCCTGATGTTTGGCATTTCCCGGACACTGATGGTTATCTCTGCAGCCTCTGGTGCTAACTTCTCTATACTCTCCAACACCCACCAAAACTCCTTTTTGGAACTAAGGATTCCTTTTTTAGCTGATGAAGAAAGAACAGTTAATAGTTACTGTGATTATAAGATTATTCAGGATTCGAGAAATTACTTCAGAAATTCATAAGAAGGCATATATGTTTTATTAAGTTCCTTTGCGGGTTCCGGGGGCTATTTTGAAGAAAACAGAATAGACTGACCCAATGCCTCCCAAACAAGCATGTCATAAAAGGCAACTATTAAGGGTTTAACTAAAGTCAGATGCTGTGAACTGAAAGGTGCAGATGTTGCAATCTAGCGGTAAACCGCAACCGAAGGTGCCAATCAGCCTTCTAAGCGCAAACAGAGAAGAAGTTTGATTAAGAAGGTTAACAATAAAACTATTTTCTGGCCGATAATGTGGTTGATATGTGGCTTGTATGTGGCTGGTACATGTCTGGTTTGATATTACCTATGAGGATCTTAATGATGCTAGGTTCCCCATGGTATCGAAGGGATGTCAACTGGATACCCATCCTTCTCAGGCAAGAGCAAAAATACAAGGTCTCAGGAATAGAATGCCGATATTTAACATTTCTCAGCAAGTAAAAACCACAAATGTAGGCTGTACAGGCCGAACCCTGGCAAAATTTCCAACTGAGAAAAGTATTTAAAGTATCCAAGGACCCTGACACACACACACTGGGATCCTAAGTCAAAACTGGTAATTACTTCTGCCTTTTGGGGTGTAATCAAGGGAGGGTGGGTGTGTCTTTGAATCTGAGGATTCAGGGTTGTGTTGTGGCCATAGACTGCGGGTTAGAATGTTATTTTTTCCTCTGATAGAAAAAATTCCATGAACTTTTTGAGGATTTTTAACCTAAGTCTTCCGTATGAGAGCCAATAGATCTAACTGTCTGCCCAGCCACTTCTCACACATTAAATTAATTGTTCGAAATTCTCCGCACTGCGTTATTCACTACCAAAATCAAGAATTTAAGTATTCAAACTGTTGTTGATCAGTAAAGCTAAGAAAAAAACGGCACAGCAAGCGAGCAACAAAACTTAACAACATCGGATGGGCTCAATTATTCTGCAAAGTAAGGACTTACGATGGAATGTGTTTAAAGCAGAATGATGACGAAGCTAATGGATCTGATTCAGTGATCACACTCCATATAGAATTATTTCAGTAAAGTCATGATAATCTTGAATCCCAATGTTTCAGACTTATAAGAGTTGAAATTCAGACTTCAGAGGATTATAAGCCAACAGCCCCCCCCCCCCCCCCCCCCCCGCAAACATTAACAATAACAAAATATTTTAAAATGTATTAATCATAACAAACAAATACTAACTAACAATGTGTGAATGCAACTTGAAAACATAAAAGCTCACGTTTAAGGCCATGTCGCAGCACATGCTCCAGGACAATGAAGAACTGCTGCAGAGGAATGTAGTCATCATCCAACATCCGGCCATGAGCCAGAGAGGAGTCAATGAGCTCCTTGATCAGCAGTTTGGAAATGTTCAACAGATTGGTCCGCTCAATCAGCTGAGGATCTCTTCCTACAAAGAAAGTCAATAGGCAAAAATTATATATTTATTTGCTTGTATATTGCTTCTCAACGCTGGTATTGGGTAGAACACACCCTGAAAAACCCAAAGAATAACATAACTAGAACATCTTTACACTGGAACCCACATGGGCATAGAAATAAAGGCAGATCAAAAGGGAGGTAAAGAGAGAAATTAAAAATATAGGGAGGTGAGCTGCATGAGACAGCAAAAGACAGGACAACTTGGCGTGAGTTGGCTAAGGGCCTATGCTTCATTGGGAAATATAGGGTAAAAGAAAAATGCTGTTTCTCAGTAGGCTCAAACACTCAAAGTATCAACATGGAAACTACAGGACAACCAATTACTAGCTATTACCAATAGCAGACCTGGTCACTAATCAAAGTACAAGAGAGAAAGGTTGGTTAAAGGACATATTTTTCTTGGAGATGGGGGGGGGGGGGGAGTTGAAGAATAATCGACTACTCCTGAACAAGACGCCTGGCACCGTAATAAACAGTAGTTTCTAATGTTTTACAGCAAGATTTGAACCAGACGCCTGGCACTGTAATAAACAGTAGTTTCTAATGTTTTACAGCAAGATTTGAACCAGACGCCTGGCACTGTAATAAACAGTAGTTTCTAATGTTTTACAGCAAGATTTGAACCAGACGCCTGGCACTGTAATAAACAGTAGTTTCTAATGTTTTACAGCAAGATTTGAACCAGACGTCTGGCACTGAAATAAACAGTAGTTTCTAATGTTTTACAGCAAGATTTGAACCAGACGCCTGGCACTGTAATAAACAGTAGTTTCTAATGTTTTACAGCAAGATTTGAACCAGACGCCTGGCACTGTAATAAACAGTAGTTTCTAATGTTTTACAGCAAGATTTGAACCAGACGCCTGGCACTGTAATAAACAGAGTTTCTAATGTCTTACAGCAAGATTTGAACCAGACGTCTGGCACTGAAATAAACAGTAGTTTCTAATGTCTTACAGCAAGATTTGAACCAGACGCCTGGCACTGTAATAAACAGTAGGTTCTAAAGTCTTACAGCAAGATTTGAACCAGACGCCTGGCACTGTAATAAACAGTAGTTTCTAATGTCTTACAGCAAGATTTGAACCAGATGCTGGCACCATAATAAACAGTAGTTTCTAAAGTCTTACAGCAAGATTTGAACCAGACGTCTGGCACTGAAATAAACAGTAGTTTCTAAAGTCTTACAGCAGGATTTTAACCAGATGCCTGGCACCATAATAAACAGTAGTTTCTAAAGTCTTACAGCAGGATTTGAACCAGATGCTGGCACCCTAATAAACAGTAGTTTCTAATGTCTTACAGCAAGATTTGAACCAGACGCCTGGCACTGTAATAAACAGTAGTTTCTAAAGTCTTACAGCAAGATTTGAACCAGACGCCTGGCACTGTAATAAACAGTAGGTTTTAAAGTCTTACAGCAAGATTTGAACCAGACACCTAGCACTGTAATAAACAGTAGTTTCTAATGTCTTACAGCAAGATTTGAACCAGACGCCTGGCACTGTAATAAACAGTAGGTTCTAAAGTCTTACAGCAAGATTTGAACCAGACGCCTGGCACTGTAATAAACAGTAGTTTCTAATGTCTTACAGCTAGACTGAACCAGCACAGAGAAAAAAACGATTCTACTGGTTCAACAGTGGACATACACGACAGGGGTCAGTTTGCATTAAAGTAGTGTTATTTGCAGTCAATGCTTATACATTAAATAATAATTGCAAGCAAGAGATATTGCTAATGATCCCAGTGACATTCTGGCTCTTATATCTGGCACAGTGCCATGTAGTGCTCTGTATGTTTGTCAGGCATGGGACCAAAATAGTATTAGGTTTTTTTGTGCAGCAGCTAGCAGCAGATCTGGTGTATGGACACTTTTTAGTTGAATATCACATGTATTTCTAAAGAAAACTGAAAATATCCATAAGGGGATAACCGACCAAAATATGAGGCAATGGCATAAGGAGACGTGTGGGCTACCTCGGATGTAATCACTGATGGAGAGATGGTGGACAAAATGGCCAAATAATTTGTGTTTAAAAAAAAAATATACATACTTGTGCGTGTGTCTGTGTGTGTGCTTGAGTGCACGCGGGCAAGAAAGCAGGGTGACAGGAAATGTTTTGCACTGGGTACCACCTGACATTACTACACCACTGATTTAGGTAAAGGATAAGTTATGCATTGCTTTCTCTCCCTTGATCTCTTCTGTTCCTCTCTCTCCCTCCTTCCCTCACTCATTCATTTCCTTCCTTTTTCTCTATTCCTCTTCTCCTCTCTTCCTCCTCCTCTTCTCTTCTTGTCTTCCCCTCTTATTCTCCTCCCCCTTCTTCTCCTTTCTTCCCCACTTTGTCTGTCTTCCTCCCTCTCATATATAAACACAATATACGTTTTCTTTACTTCTTTTTTGACTAACTGACCTCTCCATGCAGATTTGGAGGTCTAATTTGTAAGGAGAAACCGGCTGCTATTCAACAGGCATAAAACAAAAGGCCAATCCGATTTCTTAGTATGCTGTGACCAGCAGAGAAAAAGACAAAAACATATTACATGTTGCAAGGGGATTCCCAGAAGTGCTAAACACACATGATTAGCCCATTTCATGGAAATTTAGGTGGGGGTGGGGGGGGGGGGGGGGGGGGGGTAGTCAAAGAAGCAAAGAAGAGGGCAAAGAAAAACATGGAATGATAACATCACATAACATCAAGAAATGGACAGGACTAAGTTATCATACACTTTTTCATCAAGTGGAAGACAGAGAAAGATGGTGGGTTTTTTTTATGTGTTAGTAAGTAAAGTAAAGATCCCTTTTCACGCCTTAGGCGCATCGGGCATATGGAAAGAGCATCCATATTTTTACAGACCAATCGACACTAGGTGGGTAATCCGGTCAGCATTACACCGGCCGTCTTTACTTTCCCAGTATATACATCCTGGTACCCATTTTAGGCTGGGTGGACCTGCAACGCCCCGTACCGTGATAAAATTCCAAGCAGCCAGCAGTGGGTTTTGATCTCGATACGCTGGAATTATGAGTCGGACTCGCAACGCCTAAACCACGGACGCCGCTTCCGTCAATACACCCTAAAGACCCTAATGTGTTAAGGGTTGTTATGTTATGTTATGTTAATCACACACCACACGCTGTTTGGGACTGAAAGTGTTAAGAATTTAAACAAATTCTTCTGGTACTGGTAGAGTTAAAAGCAAATGCAAAAGACAAAGAAGAAGAAGAAGACAAGCTGACCTATTTACAACAATAATCTTTTATATGCAGACTTCAAACCCATACCATCAGGTTCCTCTTCTGGTTCCGCCATGTGAACTTCCTCCACTTCGAAGTGCACATCAGCCAGCTCTTTCAAACATAACCAGTCTCCATCCACAGATACACGGAACTTACACAGATAAATTGTCTCTTCTGCCATCGTTAATATATCTCTTATCCAGGACCAAATAACAATTATAGAATAATGTGTCCTCCTCGACTTTAAACCAGGTCTATCTTTCAAAAGTTCAAATTATTAACACAGCTGTACACATTCCTTTAGGCATGTTGTGAATATTAAATTGGTTCATTTTCTTAGATTAGTAAACAAATACAGGGTCATCAAAATGATTGCCAAGATTTTAAACTGTTATTATAGAAGAAGCAGTTAATGGATATAAATGTGCGGCATCTTTAAATGTTCAGAAAAAGTTAAGAGTTTCCTGTGACCTTGTGTTATTGTGAGGCTTAAAATGATGCAAAGATAAGGAACACAGGAGACTGAATACCATCTAGACTTCACCAGAGCTATAAATGGCGCCCATATCCAAGTGTACTTGGAAAATCTAAAATTATTCACTCTTCTGATCATTTTAAGATGCCACATGTGTATATCCATTGTATACTTTTTATAACAACAGTTTAAATTCCAGGTTATCATTCTCGATGACAAAATTTCAGATAAACAGGAGTTGGGATAACACTGTGGCTAGATGCTCATGTGAATGGTCTGTGCAGGGGGGTAAAAAAAAAACCTTGGTTCCCAGATCAAATAAAACTAAAATGGGTACCAGAAAATGTCCTGGGAGGTAAAGGGGGTAGGCATGATGTTGACCCTATCTCCCATTGAGTGTTGATTGGTCTATGAAAGAAAATTGAGTTTTGCAACATATGATCGATGTGCCACTTGCATGAGAGGAGTCCTTTACTCACTGTAAGTTTACAGATAAACACAAGAAAAGAAATAAAATGTCTGCTATCTCCATAATGCAGTGAGACAAAGAAGGTGGAGATATACTGGGCACATTCTCCCATGTGGGTTCTGGGGCCCTATTGTGGGGAAAACAAGAATAGACCCACTGCCTCCCCAAAAGCATGTTGTAAGAGTCGACTAACTGGGGAGCTTCCTTTGAAGTCGGAGTGCATCTGCCTGAGAGGCAAGGAACCAGCAGTCTGCATTCAATTGAATCAGAACTGTAAAACTGATGCACACACAACACTCAGCAGGACTGCAGTCCAGAAGTGGACGAACAACCAGAACTTTACGCCAGAGTGTACAGCTGGTGAACGCGAAGAAAAAGAAGACTGGGCACACTCTGAGATTAAATTAGCAAAGAATTACAAAACAGGCACTGAAATGGGAAATAATCGGTCTGAGAAAAAGAAGACCTAAAGAGAAACAGTAAGAAGAACATTATCACAGGAAGTTAAAAAGAAAATGCTGGCCTGAACTCCATGTCAGAAATTGAGAAAGTTACATGCAATAGAGCGCAGTGGAGCCCTCAATGACATCTAACAGCACACAAAGGATGTTGATGATGATGATGATTTTTATAATGCAGGCTGGCTGCGATGGAAATGCGCAACTACAGTAGTTTTTGGGAATAACATCTGGCAACGTCCCATCTCTTCCACAGTACAACTCTTACACCAATGTCCAAAAACCACAAGAGAGTATGGTGGATTTTTATTTCTGAAACAGACACCTAGATAAACCCAGTCTAACAAGAGTACTGGAAATGTCTATGAAGTAAAGCATGCTACTGTCCACATCACACTCAGAGCACCAACTGATCTATATAAACATGGATCTAGCACATACACATGATATACCACTGGCATGAAAAAAAAAGGCCATTACTTAACCTTTTTTTAAAAACAGGCAATACAACTGATGACATGTTTAGAGGATTAAAGTATTGATCCCCCCCCCCCTTCCTCCCCCCCCCCCCCCCTCAATGAATCAAATGTTGAGAAGATCAGCTGATACAATGGATTCCTGTCTTTGAAAAAAAAAACTCCACAATTATACTCTCTAGGATTAACATATGAATGAGAAAGGTACAAATTTCAGAGATCCTAGGTTCTACTGCCAAGATTTACCACTTCTGTGCTTTAGGCAGTGGAGCCTTTGAGATTCAGGAATTAGGACTGGCTGCATGGCTAGTGCTGTCGCCGAGGACTATGCAGGCCTAGATTTTATATTAGCCACTGACAGAAAAATAGATTCAAACCCGGGTCACCCGCATGAAAGCCCAGAATCCTTAACCATTCGGCCAGCTGCTCCGAAATAAAACAAAAATATTGGGGTACCTTATAGTTGTGAAATAACATGTAACCTAATATGGGGGTTGGGGAGGGGGGGGGGGTGGCAAGGATCAATAGATTGCATCTGGCAATGGAAAACCCAAGTAAATAACCAACTGACCTACCCCCCCCCCTCCCCCCCCCCTTTCCGACCAACAAGCATGCCGTAAAAGGTGACAAATTAGTGGTTTTTCCTTTAAAGCCAGCAGAATTCATCAGCCTGAGAGGCGAGGAACAACAGTCTGCATACAAATAGCCCAGATCTATAAAACGGATGTGCACGCAAAACTCAAATTCCGGAACAAGACCAAAGTCCAAAAGTGGACAAACAACAATAACTTTAGGCCTACAAGGTGTACTGGGCATATAGTCCTAGACCTGTGCTGTTAAACCAATTGGCACTGGGTGGGTTATGTGGTCAACATTATAACAGCCGCCTGTACTTCAAAAAACTCTCCCTGGTATCCATTTAAAGCTGAGCTGACCTGGGTCATTTTGGGAAAAAAAAAATCCAGCTCCGTGCGAATTTGAATACAGGACCTTCAGATCTGCAAGCAAAAGTGTGGCCTCTACACCAGGGCAGCTTCCATGAGGGCTGACTAGGTCAATTGGGGTGGGATGGGGGTGGGGGGGGGATCCAGACCGGAAGGGTATTCAAACACATGCTCACTGTGTGGGACAAATCAGTGTACTAAACATAAAAGTAGGAGTATTCCTTTTCGTAAACTGACTATCCTCCGAATAACAGGCACATATTATGGCGGCAAAAAATATACCCTGACAGGGCCTCAGTTACATGTACATTGCGTACTTCCGCCAACACCAAAAGTATCTCCCATGCCGCTACGCGTGGCGTGGAGCTACGTGGCGTGGAGTGGGGCTAAACTAGATAGCGGGGACTCACAAGCAAATAAAATAAAGGAAGCTGCAGGAGATGCGGTAGCTGCTGCTCGTGAATCCCAGCCATCAAGATTGGCCACCATAATATGTGCCCATTATTCGGAGGATAGCCCGTAAATTTTTTTAGAGGCAAATATTTCACTTGATATATGACCTTTGTTTGGAATATGACTCGCATACTAGAACTTGTATGAGTCAAAATGAGTCATGACACTGCCTCTTACCCTTGTTTACCTCTCTCACTAATCAAGGAAATTGTTATAACCAAAAGCTTCACCCCCCCCCCTCTCTTTGTGGAATGCTGTTTAAACGTGACGATTTTTTTTTTAAACAAATAAGTCAAGTCAGCATGGTAAAGTGAGGTTCAGTTAATTTATCTAACTGCTTTTGAATGTATATATTTTTGTATTAATCAGCGTTGAAATTATTTTATACAAACCATTACAATAGATGTATTTTGTCAAAAACATTCGAACTTTTTTCTCAGAGTAACGGATTAGTCATTCTTCTTTTATTTTTGTATGGGGAAGTTCGTTTGATACATGTCCTGTGTGGAATACGTCCAAGGATCTGGAGTGGATTCAGGAAGTATGTCGAAGTACCACTGTACTAATATTGTACTGGCCATGCACTCTGAATGGATAAGACAAGACTCCCGCATCGAGCTCTCTCATGGACACCGGAAGGGATAGAAAACCGGGGGTGATCAAGAGAGACCCTGAGTAGAACCATCATCAGGGAAAGCTCAAACACGGAACTAACAAACATCCAAGACCTAAAACAGGTGGCAACGAACCCCCAGATATAGAGAGTTATGACCTCTGTCCTGTGCGCTGCCCTAGACTCAAGAGGAAAGACTAACAACAACTTTTTAAGGCTGTGTATGTAGGGGAGAGAGAAGGGAAGGGGTGTGTATCTGAGGATTTAGGCCACACGCTTAGTGCAGTAGCCATGGCCTGTAACAATTATGATTTTAATTTTTGCCCCTCATCAAAAAAAAAAAAAAAAAAAATTCCGTCACCTCAGTAAGGGTTTGAACTCGGGTTTCCTGTATGAAATCCCAATTCTAACCACTTGGTCCGTCGTTCCTTAGCCTAAAATTGGTATCCCCCCCCCCCTTCCGAAACAAAGTAACAGGCAGCCATGATGCTGGCCGCATCACCCATCGACTGGGCTTAAAAATATGTCTAACGCCATGTGCATCTATTAATACTAGTAGAGCCTCTCCCCCTCCTGTTTAAACATCGATAAAACTGACCGCAAAAACAATTATACGGCTTTTAGGACAGTGGCAGGGTTAAAAATGGCGTAACAACCAGCAACAGTAAAGAAAATGACCCTTTATCACGCCTTCTGGTGTACTGGGCATATAGGGCTAGACATATATTTTATAGACCACTCAGTACTCGGTGCGTGAATCGGTCAGCATCACGTCGGCCGCCTTTACTTCACAAGACTCCACCTGGTACCCATTCAAGGCTTGATCGACCTGGGAGCCAAGGTCATTTCTAAAGAAAAAAGTCCAAAACCGTCATGAAATGAACCCACGACTTTCCTATCCCCGGGCGAGTGTCCAGCCGCTACATCACGGCGCTCCCGTAACAACTAAAAGACGATATTTAACTCTTTCAGACCCAGATATGGAACACCAGCTAGTGTTATTTCTTCTTTTTATTTTTATTCTTCAACTTTCGTTCGCCTGAAATAAGTTATCTATACCAGCAGTGTCTCTCGTACACATTTAACTCGTTTTCTACTGTCTGTGGCACCTTTCCAGAGGTGCACATGGCTGATGCGCATATCTTGAATTGTATGTACACGTGGCTGTGTAATAGACTATGCCCTGTTCTAAAGTGCAGGATAATGACTGGTTCTGATCTGTCCATAACAGAGTAGTTGTCATGTGCTGGAGCTTGTGGTTTCCAGAGTAAAATATGCTTTTCTTTTGATGGT